ATTTAGAATAAATTGTCTTGTAGTTAAGTGAAAAAATATATACTTTTCCGTTTCATGTTTCATGACTGTCATATTTATCCCTTAAACTTAAACTGAAGCATCGGATAGTTTTATTCCCGTCAAATCATATAGATACACGCAATATGAATGGAATATACAGTGGGTCACAAAATTATTCGCTCACTCGCTAATGTGGCAAAGATGAACGAAATAATCAGGCAACACAGGGTACTTTTCAATTTTTTATTTGGATATACATAGCTTAAAGTTTAATTTAATAGAATCGTAAAAAAAATTGCGAAATTTTCATTTATAATTACAGAAAAATGAGTTTTAAGAAATCTTTACGTTTTTTCACGTCACAAAATTATTCGCTCATTTTGTTTTAATTACTATTATGACAATATTAATATTTAGTGGGATATCCTTTTTGTCTTATTACTTCTGCAAGTCTTTTTGGCATTGATGCTACTAATGTTTCCAAATAATTATTGTCCATTTTTAGCCATTCCTCCTGTAATCTGTTTTGTAAGTCTTTCTTGTTGGTAATTGAATGTCTACTACGTATTTTAGTATCCAGCATGTTCCATACCATCTCGATGGGATTTAAGTCGGGAGATTGAGGCGGAGTTTGCATTATTTTTGGACAATTATATAATAACCATTCTTGTACCAATCTCGATTTATGTTTAGGGTCGTTATCTTGATAAAAGTGAAATACTTCTGAAATCCCCATTACTTCCGGACTCTGCTTCAAATTTTTTTTTAGAATATCCATGTACATTACTTTATCCATGGTAGCCTCAATCATTTGCAATTTTCCAACACCGTGATAGCTAATGCAACCCCAAACCATCACATGACCACCTCCGTGCTTGACTGTGCTACACAGGTTCTTGGGATCCATCTCCGCGTTTGATCTTCGCCAAACTTTTTGATGACCGTCAGAGCCCCAAATATTAAATTTACTTTCATCACAAAATATTACATTGTGCCAAAATTCAGGGGGCTTTGAGATGTATTTTTTGGCGAATTCTGTTCTTTTCTTCCTATTAATTTCGCTTACGTAAGGCTTTCTTCTTGCTACGCGGCTGTTGTACCCGTTCTTTCGCAACACTCTTCGTACCGTTTCATCAGAAACTTCTTTTTCACTAAAATTTTTCAAACTTGTATTGATTCTGGGAGCACTTATTTTCGGATTTTCTTGAACTTTTCTCACAACAAAACGCTCTTCTGAGGAATTCAATATCTTTTTCCTACCACGGCCAGCTTTGTTTATTATTCGTCCTTCTTCTTCGTACCGTTTTATAATATAACGTACTGTTGAATAACTTTTACAAACGATATTTCCAATTTGTCTGATGGATTTTCCACTTTTCCAATGAAAAATTATAATTTCCCTAATATCTAGACTAGTTTCTTTACTTTTTCTACCCATTGTAACGAATTCTTGAAAATCAAAGAAATAAATGAAAATAAATCCTTACCGAGCGTTTGTTTACGTTATACTGACTCTTTCCAGCAACAATCAGAAACAAATGCCCCTCTGAATTTGTAGATTGCATTTGTTTCAGTGGATTTCGTGGCCTGAGCGAATAATTTTGTGGCGTGAAAAAACGTAAAGATTTCTTAAAACTCATTTTTCTGTAATTATAAATGAAAATTTCGCAATTGTTTTTTACGATTCTATTAAATTAAACTTTAAGCTATGTATATCCAAATAAAAAATTGAAAAGTACCCTGTGTTGCCTGATTATTTCGTTCATCTTTGCCACATTAGCGAGTGAGCGAATAATTTTGTGACCCACTGTATAACACTTTATTTGTGCTATTTCGTTTCACAATTGGCTGCAGACAAAAAAATCCTGCATAATGTCAATAATATTGATTTCCCCACAACATCCATAATTATTACAAATGTCAATATAACGAAATATCTTTTATGCGATGTTTGATGTGTAATAAAAATCTGTGTTTCGATTATGTTTTTGATACATATTACTTACTTATATGTAATTGTATAGAATAAAAATAGACTATTTGTCCGATATTTGAAAATATACATGCGTTCGTTGTCACTGTTAAACTGTTGTAAGAACAATGGAATAATAAAATAATTTACTCAAATGTACATAATAATACATATACATATTCATAAAAAACAATATTAAACGAAAAAAACAATATAAAAAAAACTAATAGGTCTGTCGGGACGAGAACCCAAGAACTTAGACTAGTTGAACTCGAATGGATTTAACGTAGTCCACAAAATCATCATTGTCATAACGTAGAGGGCAGCAGAAAATCCCTGACTTTTTACACGATCGGTATTTCAGAACATGAGACACAAAGTCCCATAAGATGATAGGTCTATCCTATACCTCGTCGGTGGTGTTATTGTCTTACTTGCCCAAATAATTATTTTCGTTTGAATTTGCCGCTATTCTTAAACTATATAATATGGGACACAACTCTTAAAATCAAATATTGTAGGGTACCACGTGACTGTGGGTAGCCCTCTGGCGACGAATCGTAACGTCACTGCTATAGCTTTAAACAGGATAGCGTGCATAGAACGTGCGCAGTTCGTGGTTGCGCGGTTATCAAAACGAACAAGTTCTGCCGTCATTCCAATCCCGCAAGGCTTTCAGTCACGTTCCTGCTAGCGTAGGAGATAGTCAGAAGCGAAGGGGACAGATTACGCACATACAAGTTTGAAGCAGTTGACGCTTTAAAATTGAAAATGTTTACCGGATTAACTAATCAAGTTTCGACATGGATAGGCAAGAAGGCCGAGAGCGGTGGTACGGAAATGCCGGCCGAAAAAAAGAAGGTTCTCACATCACCACTCGGTGAAGGAAAACTTGTCGAAGAGAAAAAAGATAGGTGAGTACCATGGTATTAACCTGGACAGTTATTTAAATATTGAACGTCGTAATTCGACTGACACGGGCTACGCATTTCTCATTTCAACGCTGTACATTCGGAGTTAATCTGATTTGTGACACGACGATGCTCTCGCATCGTATATGTTGCATGACAATGCAGTGTCAACTTATCGATGTTTTTCGTCTGTCAAGCGGAAGCGGTGTTTTTAATCAGAATCGTACAGTTCTCGGTCATTTCAATACACGATATTTTTGCGAATTCGTGCGACGCGTTGAAACTTTCGGTACAATGTACCCTTGCATTTTTGGAATTAGATCGATAACAACCGTTCCTCCGCTTACGTAAAGTTCTGTACATGCGACAAGGTTACGACGTTCCATGATTCTGAATGAGGTTAACACGGTTTCGACGTACGGTTTTGCACTTAACCTTTTCTTACGGAGTTCTCGCGAGTGTCGATGATCGATGGTGTCTTGGAGATAAAGACGTATCTTGAAACGTCAAAATGATTGCGCTTTACAGAGGACATTTATGTGTATATATGTACATTGGTCAGCGATGTACTCGAATGGATTAAAAATGCTACTTTATAACGCATGTCTCTCTTCAATGTATTGAATATCTTCGTCTATTATTAATCTTTCATTGCTGAGCGGACGATGCATAATATAGTGTACGGAAACTCTTGTTTGTTTAAAATATGCAATGCATTTTTGTTTTACTCGCTGGAATATCAAAGAGCCAGAGCTGTTTAAATATTACATCATCCTAGGTGTAATGTATTCGCTGGCTGCATTTTTGTTTTACTCGCTGGAATATCAAAGAGCCAGAGCTGTTTAAATATTACATCATCCTACCTTTCATTCTCGTGGGTTTGTAACGTAACTACGAAGTGTTTCGTATTTTCCATTCCGAAGACGCGAGACGTGAACCAGTTTATAGGCTTTATCGCTTGGCTTCGTACACGAAATATGACATTTACGAGGTAATACTCTCTGAAAGTTGAATCGCGTACAATGGATTTCGCAGACAAGATTCTGGGATCTGGAGTACACCATTAGATACGTAGAATCATTTTCCGAATTTCGCGATACATACACCTTTTTGTCGACAGTGACTGAATGTCGCCATTAAATCCGCATTATGGAATCCGAAAATATTTTTATCATCGTAAAATTTAAATGATCCAAGAAATCCGACGGAAATATAGAAAGATTATTTCTTTTTTTGAAAGTAAAATGTATTGTGTTAATTCGTTTTTATTCTCCATTATTACATATCTTACCTTCAGAGTATTAAACTTCTTGTTCTTTTATGTAAGATTTTCCTAGCAGAATCCATTAAATTATGTTCATGTAATATTTTTTACAATATAATGTACGTATAGTTCTCAATGAAAAGGATTATGTTCGCTGTGTTACTCCATTACATATATTAACAATAATCCTATTATAATTGAAGTAAAATTCAGTACTGATTAAGCTTTACAAAAATTGTTATGAACCGTGTGAACACTACTGCCTCCAGTTTAAAATTTCTCCTCTCTGTTTCATTGTGCTAACCCAGACTTAACCTTACTATTACATGTCCTTAAATATACTTCAAAGGACACTCAACCATGTTGTGGTTAATGGACAAGTGTCTTCTTAACGATGATATCTCTGTTGAACGTACAGCAACCTCGTAAAAACTCTCAACCGTACTCTTACAATTTCTCGCGAGTCGAATTAATTCGCAAGAACGTTTCTCGCCTTTGCATTCCCTCTTTCTCATCTCGCGGTAGTTTCGACTTTCATTACCGTCCCCACGCCTCCACCTTTCCTGTGTCACGGGAGTTCCAACCGTTTTCAAAGAATCGCGGCTTTTCTCATTTAATTCCCATTATTCGGTCGGATTCGTGAATGTTCTTTTTTTTCGTTTATTACGCGGGTTAGGTGGAAAAAAGCGCGGCGATTCAGACTAAACCAAACTGGCGCCCGTTTCTCCGGGTACGTTATCGTGCTTGGCTTTTTATTCGCGCGCCACATTCGCCACAAAGCCAAATGCGAAACAGTAAACTACTATGGAAGCGGGAAAAAAAAAGGGATAAATATTTCTCCCTCTGAGTTACGTGAATGATCCACGCGTAAACTCGTGCATAATTTAGTAATCCACCGGTCAATTGCTCTGTTCGAGTCGTCTTGGTGGGATCCTCGAGAACGCTTCCTGGTAAATATCTCTTCTATGCATCGAATAAACGTCAATTTCACTGGCTGGCGGGATATTTACTAGAGAAAAATTGCCTCTGGTGCTGTGTTTTCTTTCAAGAAGTTGAAGAATATGCGTTCGAACGAATGTACGTGGTCGGTCTCGATCCGTTCTGGCCTCAACCGGCTATGAAAGGAATGCCAACCTATATTCCCACAAAAGGGTGGGGGGAGGCTGGAGACGTAATCTTTTATATAGGTCACAATCGATACCGCTGCGGTCCACCCTTTCGCGAAACTGTTAAATTTCGTATAATGGTAACGAGTATCACTGGTTTTTTTTTAACGCGTTTTACGGCCCGGTTTTCGGTGCTCACGCGAAACCCCGATTTTCCGCACTTTCGAACACTGCCCACCGGAATTATTCGCCTTTTTAACGCTTTTCGCGTTCACAGCTCTGATATCCGCACGAGTCACGATTTTCGTTCAGTCTAAAATATTGTTCAATCTTGCGTAATTGTATCGACAGTCCCTTTCTTTGATTTTCACCTCAATTTTTGTCTCTTTGCCTCTGTTTAACTCCCTTTTGGTCCCGTTTTTGTGTCTCACATTTGGCCCTCGTCTGAAACACCATTCTCTCTGGAATTTTAAATACTCTGAAAATCGAAGTTACGGCAACATTTCATCGTTTCTTTTTTTATGGAATTTTGCACCCTAGAATTACGTTACATTAATATGAACATTCGATAGGGGAGTAGTTACGTACCAAGGGTTGCGTGCACAGGGTAATTGTGTGACATGATGAATAATTTCAAATAATTGTCTTCGACTCGATTTCGATACCGATTATTACCGAATCATCATCGTTATGTGTTGTATCCACCGTGAACTCTCTTTACCTCTTATCCAACGATACCTGGGGTGAAAGAAAAGAGGACAAAGCCGAGACACGGAATTTTTCACGAGCCAAGCGGGCGGGCCCTGTTTAATGGGCCACGGTTATAGCTACGGTAAGGCATTTACAAAGCCACCCTACTCTTTAAATGAGTTATAGTAGCAACATTGTTTCTCTTACCGTGCACCGCGGTTACATTGACCTGTTTTTCGTTCGTAATATATTTACGGGGCATAAGGAGAAATCGGATCACTCCCCTATGGCCTGTTTCACTCCGAGACCGGTCGCGGTAAGAAAGTACAGTATCGAATGTGTACTATTCTTTACAGGATAGCGAATTATATTTTATTTGATGGACACTTGATCGTGATTTTTGGTAGTAATGAGTAATACAACCGAGTGTGGATGGTTGTGATAAAATAATTAAAACATAACCGTGTATAAATAATTATAAGTTCACACTTTTCAATGATAAATGAATAGTACGAAACTGATGTTCTTATTTTTCGAGTAAAAATACTTTAATTGTGGTAGCAATAGTAATAATAAACATATGTTTATTAATGGATGAGATCCATTGGTATTAGATTCGTGTAATACAGGTAATATAATACATGAAACATATTTTACTATTGTTTGTGTTGTACGATGAGCAAACTTTACATTATAAATTAACTAAAGTCTTATGAATGCAAGAAGATATGAGTCATTGGTTATTTTTCAACCCTAACTGAATTACACTAACATGGACAATGATAAATAATTTTTTTAAGTGCATTAGTTTGTACATTCGTATAAAGTTTCGTTCGAAAAGCGCACGTCTAGGTCGAGCAGCCTCATCCCTTGTAAGAAAATTTTTCTCATCAATGATTCATGATTAGAAAAGTAGCGACGTCTTATTTCTTGTCCCTGGAATTGATACGATCGTCCCGCGTGTCCTGGTATTTTAGCGTTACCGAAGTATAAAACGGGGCGAAACCTATTAAAAGTTTATTCGAAGATGGTCAATTGGGTCATGCCAATTCCCATTACCGCAAGCCTCGAACGTGTATCCTGCTTATCGAAAATTCCAATAAAAGTTCAGCTCCTCGGGCTGTATTTATTTTTCCGAACGTGTTCGCGATAATACCATTAAAATTATTTATACTTTTAAAGAAATGTAATGTACATATTCTTCTTTGCGTGAACCCGTAATTACTTCCCTCGAAGCATATGGTTTACCAACGTGAATTAACACATTCGAAAACACGTTTCACGCTTTTCATCGCGTCGAATAACTGCAGAAGGGTGTATCGTGTTCGCTGATAAACAGAAAGCAGGTTTCCAACGAATGTTTGTTCCCTCCGGGCGACGTTTCCTTCGCGAGGAAATTCATCGACGGCTATTATCACTCGAATTCGTTTCGACCGTGGGTTACTTCTGAAATGTGTTTTTGTTTTAACACGTTGAGTACGACAATGAAATTTACGAAATGTTCGATACCACCGACGTTTGTTATAACCGGATGATTCAATTTTACTGAAACATTTATTCCCATTAAGCCTTTAACGGTAGAATTTTGTTTTAGAAATTTGTAACCATTTGATTCTTTTATTCTAATAAAATAAATATATTCTTCAATTTGTACTAAATTTTAATTTTTATACCAGAAGATTTTTTATTCTTTCACATGACAAGTATAATCGTCATTTCCAAAAAAGTGCTTGTTTCCTCGTGAGTATACCCATAAAATACCATTAAAGGGTTAATACTTATTTTTTAGTTCCTAATCTTTTCACCTGTTAGTTCTTTTTTTTTTAAATAGAAAATGACAGTATGGTACTACATGTTTGTTAACCCCTTGCCGTATAACATCGGGTCAGACTCATGTTGACGATTTCAAAATCGATGCAACAAAAAAGAATATTACTCGGTTTTCTTTGAGTCGAAGTGAAATGCCACGTTGCTGGCATTAATATTTCACTTTTACAGTAAAAATACAGTTGCAATAATTATAGAATTCCTTTCGTTTCTGGGAAACTATCGACAACAATGTAATCCTGGCGTCTGCAGAGATTAAGAAAATCGTAGGGCACGGAGTTAATGTTACGTTGCATTAGTTTGTATCGTTATTCTAAATATTTTGCGTGCGATGATTCCATTGGTGGGTCACATCGGCAAATGAGAGTATCACCCAGGGACCCACCGGTGGGTCACGTAGAATTATCAAGCAATCGTCGACACGTTCGAAGATCGTGTGTAAATTAAGAATATGTTTTTCCTCTGATTTGCAGCCCGACCAAAGGCATCAAAAAGTTGGAGATGTTTGCTGGTGTGAAGACTCAGATGACAGGCTGGCTTAGCGGCGGAATAGCAGGATTAGGTCGCAGTGGTGCACACGCAAACGAAGGTGAATCACCGGCACCGGTGAACGAGGCTCAGGTAGCGCAGAATACCCAGGGCCCCGCCGAACAAGTGAAGGACGACGACGCCAGTAGGTAAGGAAACGGTTTTCAATCGATCCACGGGCGTACTTCCCTCGAAGACGCTCGATCCTCTTGCGGATAGGCAAGATTAACGCGTTGTAGCTCGAATTATTTTCGGTCCTCCGGGAATGGAAGCGAAGAACAACTGAAAATTAAAGTCTGTGTAGCTTGCTTATACTTGGTAACCTATATTTTTATTCAAACTGTTTATATGTTATAAACATGACGCAGGCTTTTAAATTTCAAAGAGAAAACTTTTGTGATACTTCTTTTTTCTTGAGTCGATAACATATGTATCTTTTGTTACACTTTGTATAGCAAGAATTGTCTGTCAGTTGTATTGGATGTGATGAAAACTAAAAAACGGGAAATAAAAAGAGATCGTGAACGAAATATAAAGTCATATATTTCAAAGGGACACGAGTTTTGGTGAAATCAATAAATGCGAGCGTTCAGTCTTTAGAGATTTGTAGTATTCTATTAATTTGAGCTATAGAGTGTAAATATGCAGCGACGAATATTTGTTCCGAATTGTCGCGTTATTTGCAGGTCACGTCATACACTGGTATTTGGAATTTAACAGTTATCGATGATTCCATTTATATAATACTTTTTCTATGGTTAGTGACCAATGAAACTCAGTAAACGACGTTACCTATGTCATTTGAATGTTGTGGAAGAGTCCGTAGTCGAAAGTTAATCTGATAATATTTGTACTAAATATTTCACTTGTGTAGATTGTTTGATTTATCAACCCCATGCGTATCCAAGAATTTATGTAGGTCACTCAGGCAATGGGCAATCGTATTCACCAGTCGTCAGTGACAATTAATCGACGAATTAAAAAATCTTGAGAATTCCTAAATTAACGCAGTGCCTTTGAATTTGTATTCGATCAGTTTTACATGAAAAAAATAAAATTTTAATTCTGCCCAAGAGTAATTGTTGAGTTGTCTGCTGGAAATGAGTTACCATTTTGACTGCAGGCGCTTGGTAGTGTTAAAATTGTATGATATTAAGTGCTCTGTATTTTTGCACAACAATATCAGTCATTTGTAATCTGTCGATGAATATCAAAGTAGACAAATGTTCCTTAAGCAATAGTTAAAGTTGAGAACGCTTCTCGAGAGATAATCCTTTAATCACATCGTGTTGTTCAAATACATAGCTAAATCAATTTTTTTTTTGTCTATTACAGTGCAACTGGAGGAGCGGACAGTGGACCTGCGAGTTTAGAAGGTACGCCGACCGACGACAAAAACGGTCCACAAGCATTTGGCTCCGGTGAGATTTCAAAAATTTTTTTTATCAGATATACCTGACTGTCTATACTTATTTGATCTCCAATTGGAGAAACATTTAATCTCTTCTTACTTTAAATTTCACACTGGGAATTCTCAACGGACGGCTATACATTTTACTTATTTTGTCGCCCTTATTGTAAGGAAAGCTAGCTCCTTCGAAAAATAAGACACATCTTTTGCTAAAGTGAAACAAATAAGAGTAAGTCAAATGTTAATGAGCGCTAGTGTGATTCACACAAACGAATATGAGTGGCAACGAGGCATTTAGTTCTCTGTTACAATCCTGTAACTTTATACCTTTAATTTACAAATCGTAATTTCTCTAGAATAGATATGTCGAAAACGATGATATTAATTCTTTTCGCATCATTCAAGGTTTAGCTCATATGTCTGCCCAGTACAGTCCATTTCTACTTAAAATCCAGAAACGAAGGCAAGCGTAGCTGATATGTTCTTTCAAACTCACGTCTCTTTTAAACAAAGTCCTATTTACGAAAATTTTATTGTTTCGTTATACCAGTCGATTGTACCACCCTGTATATGCTATCGATGGCAGTTAAAGACAGGCTTCTTTCGGTCACGACATCGTTAGTCGAATATCCCCGATTAAATGATCCGAACCGGGGAAAAAAGTTGACTCTCGAGCACATCGACGTGAATTATTTTCAACGGTTGTTTACCCTTACACAATTGCCGTTAAACTCAGCTTAATCACTTTAACTTGGGCGAGCGCTCGAATGCTACGGAAAGAAACTTTTAATTAGATCCAAGTCGGCGAAGATGAAAGACTTTGCTAGTCTCTAAGAGACTGGCTCTCTCGTTACCACTGATATTCGGTGCAGAAAGTCGGATCGGAGGGGCCAGGGTGAGTTTTATTTAGAGCAAAAACAACGAACAGGGATAAAAGAATTGCCCTCATAGTTCTCGAGGACGAAACGAGCGAGCAATCGAGTGAGCCTTTAGAAGGGAACGAAAAATCGGATCTCGTCGGATCGATTCGAATTCAAATTCGAATCCGTGACAAAAGCATCCGTACTGTTCATAGTCTGCGTGTTTCGCTTAGATAAACACCACGCCCGGGGTCGATTCGTTATTCTGTCACGCGAGAGCCAGATTCGCGACTGCACAGGGTGGTTCGTTATTGGTGATAACATTGAGAGAGGTGCCAGTTACTTTACGAAAAAAAAAATCGAATGGATGTTTTATACAATGTGATAGAATGTCCCACGCAAATGGATAGTGATACGTTTTTGACACTAGAACTGTCAGCGTTGAATGCGTTCTAAATTAAATTGTATAATATATATATGTATGTACATATAATTTAAAATGTACAGTCGACTAAAAATCAACATAAATTCCTTTGAAACAAAAAGTTTGAAATCTGTCATTTTGACGGGTTTGATTGTTCTACCGTTAGCCAGTTAACCGGGCAAGACGAATTAACTCGGCATTTATGTTCAACTATATTTAGTTCAAATTATCATATTAATTATACTATTAAATTATTATTAAATATTAATATTTCAATTTGCAGGTTTTTTTTAATAAAATAGTAGAAATTTTTTAATAAATGTATACAAGTATTAAATAAGGTTGGTCGAACAATAGGAAATGTACATATTTCACTTTCTTTAACAGTATTAAATCCATTAACACGCGTGAACAGAACCGAATAGATAAGGAAGTACTTAAAGTATCTAACTTTATCATTTTACATTTTTTTCTGTCGTCAACCAATGGAAGGATATGCATTCGTCCAGTTGCGTGCGGCACTATCTATAAATAATTCTTTTTGAGATAAAAGATTAAATCAATGGTTAGACTTTCACTTTACATTTACAATTTATTAATGGAGGACGAATCAGTTTTCTTACGATTATATCACCAATAATAGTCCACTCTGCATAAATCGCGGATAGACTTATCTTGGGCGTATCTTTGACCCGATTTCCCCACAAAACCGATTCATTTTTCACGGGCTCGCCACACATTTCACAATCTTAACGAGAATCTCCCATATGGGGGACGAATAACTCGGTGCATTTCGATGTACACTGTGCAGTGCACTCTGCGCAGTGCCCACAGAATATTTTCCAGCCTGTCACTGTTCCCCGTACAATAGGGATTTGATTTTTTCAAATGGTGTGCAATTCACGTCGCCGAAGTGCATTGTAACCATTCGAAACCACATATGGGTAAAAGAATCAAAGCCAGTTTATCAATACCTCCATCTCCTTGTTTAAAATAATATTTGCTTCTAACATTTACCGAATAAATGTAAAAACTGTTTTACATACCTTAAGAATGGAAAAAATAGTTTAAACACGGACAGAAAATTCTTCTTTTATTATCAGGACCTTATCATTGGAAACTAGTAATTACACTGGTCAGTGTTCCGATAAATGACCTATATTTTCCTAATCTCAAATATCAACATTCTTAAGCAAGGACACATTTGTTGCTAGTGCGAAATACACTAAAAGTGAATTAATATTACAATCAATATATCTCTTTAACCAGCTGACCCATTTTATATCGCTTGAAAAGCCACACCAATTTTCACTTATCAGTTCGATTCTTTATCAACTTCTCCATTAACATCAACATTAATTTCACCGTTTCAAGAAAATCTGCATGAATTCCTCGTTCCAAAGAACGACTCGGCACTAAAGTGAATTACATTTCAAAGTACCTCTAACACAATCGTGCGTCGAGCGTCGTCTGTAGGAGCGGGACAGTTAAAAAGTCGATCACACAGCTTTCTATCCATAAAATTTAGCTAACCACATCGTTGTACGTGGCCCTATTAAATTGAAACTTTCGTGGCACATTTTTTCCCCAGCTTGCCCTGTTGCTCGAACTCCTCGAGAAGAGAGACACCTGGAAGTTTTCTTCTTTTTCCCTCGGTCGTGTTTCATTTCCTGCACCGTAGCCACCGTGCTCGTGTATTCTGTGGAATACGTTTCAGACCACCACAGGTGATATAGCGGTGCGATCTTTTTTCTCCGCCGGATGTACAGATAATGCCCCTGAAGGAATTTCTCGCGTTCAGCGATCCCATCAGTAACATTTTTACGAAAACGTATTTTCTCAGCTTCTTACCTTCTTCCTCTTTCTCTGAGACGTTCGTCGAGAGACTAGCCGTATCGTGTCGTCGCGTGTATATTTTATCGGAGAGATCAGTTGTACAAGCAGCCACGCGTCATGGAAAAGAAACACGTATCATTGTCTGTCGTCGCTGGAGGGGAAAAAGCTTGACGAGCCTAAAGGCCTGTTTACACGTTCATATAATTTTCGCAAACTGACTCGTGCATGAAAATTTGTGTAAATTAACTGAGTCGTTGTACTCTATTTGACGACGGTTTACACGGTGATATAATTTGCATAGACAGAATTGTTCATTACAATTATTTCATTTTAGGTGATAGTTATTTTAATTTTCTGCACTGCCATTACATTGTGTGACTAGTTGCTTTTGATTAGGCAGTATGTATATTGTGTATTTCCTTAAAATAGAAAATATTGATGAAATTCAATGGAAGTTGGTAAAATTAATATGCAGAGATTTGCTTGCGGAAATTATTTATACGCATAAACGGGCCTTAAGCGTAGAATACTGTAACCTATTTTTTCATCCGGCAAGCACACCCCGATGGAAACGCTCGAGAACGATTTTCTACGCGCGTAAAATGATGTATCGGTTGTTACTGCGCGCAATTTTACAGAAATACATATTTTCGCGATGCTTCTGGCTTTTAATAATCCGTGATCCGAGGGAGCTTTTCGGCGAATTCGCAATAAACTGAAATTAATTATTTTATTCCGCCGTCCTTCCTCGAAATGAAAAAAAAAAAAAGGAAATTAGTGTATCATATTGCGTCCTCGTTCCGAGATTAAAATGCTCCGAGCCGATCATACTGCCGTGAATTTAATGTCACCGGTTCAAGGTCACGCCGAGATATTAGTCGCTGTGAAATAATGAATCTCTCTCGCGGATATTTTGAAAAATAGACACGAGTGACATGACGTCCGCGCAAAATGCTTCGCATTGTCCCACGTCATAACTTTGTTGAAATTAACCGAATATATTCCGAGAGGCACGTTTATCCGCGGGTACATCCGATATTCATTTTGTCCGCTGACGAAATAGCCGCGATATAAAGGTCGTTGGATTTTTTGAAAAGTGATTTACATGAGAAAGCTTTGTTCCTGGAGCTGGTAAAGGTTCCGATGGAATATGCCATCGCCTTGTATAATACGTCGAACGCTCTCGGACTAGTGATGAGTCTGCGAACAAACTGTTTCAAACATATTCGATCTTCTGTGAACGCTAGGAGTTTGAAAAATCCTAGTCGAGTTTGATCGATTTGAAAGTTGCGTTTAAACTTTTCAAACAGTTTGATTACGTTGCACACTTGGAGTTTGGGACGATGTAATCTTTTCACACAATTTAATTAAACTTTTCAAACTTCAAACTCGAGCTACAGTAATCTTTTCACAGGTTGATAAAGCTTTCCAAACTTCAAACTCGAGCCACTGTACATTTTCCAACAGTTTTATTGGAGTTACGAATTTCAAGCTTGAGTCGCTGTAAACTTTTCAATCCGTTTGGTGAAGTTTTCCAAACTTCAAACTCGAGCCATTGTAAATTTCACAAACAGTTTAATACAACGTTGCAAACTTCAATCTGGACGAGGAGTGTATCGATAAATAATTGTCTATGAAGCCTCCGATACCTCACCACCTGGAGTCACTTGGCGGACGTTCAAGAGCAGCTTGAAGTTTAAAACTTCATTAAACTATTTGGAAGGTTTCAACGTGATCTTCAGTTTGAACGCTTCGTCACGATTAAATTTCGTCTTGGACTGTTTAAAGTCCTCGTCAGATGTTTAACCCCTTCGTTACCAAGGGTGACTATATTCGCCTAACCCCAAATCACTCGCTGTGTACCAAAGGTGACTAATCACCCACCGCTGA